AATCTGCTATTTCAAAATATATTTTCACAAAAAAATGAAATTCAAACAGGCTCTATATATTGTAGATTAATAACATCCTTGATGTGTCAAGATGAGTTAAGAGTATATTAATGGCCTATTTGAGCCTCATATTCTGGTGTAGAATGCATTTTGAAATAGTAGATTTTTGAAGAATGTGTGGTTAAAAAATAAGGAAAAATTTTGAATTTGTATGTAATATTATTTTATTAAAAAATGTGTGGTTAAATATAAAAAAAAGAAAAATACATTTTAGAAAAAATAGAGATAAAAAAGGGCTAAATAAAGAGTTTATTTATACATTTCATAAAACTTATAACTTACTACCTACTTATTAATCACAATTTTCGTAGAAATCATAACTCGCTATTTTTTGGTCTTCATTATTTTCAAAATATAATTTTCTCTCTCTTATTTTTAATCACATATTGTTTAATAAAAATAATATTACACGTCAATCCAAAATTTTCATTGTTTTTCAATTTTTTAAGGAAAAAAAAATATGTGATTTCTAATTAAAGTAGTAGTGACAACACAATTGCCTCATTCTTTCCTAGTTGAAACAACTGAAAACCATAGAATTGAAGGATGGGAATCTATCACCAAAGTCAACGGCCCACAGTTTCACCCAAAGCTTGGCTCCCACGCGACCACCACATGGCCCTATATAAACCCCGATTCTGCTGTGCCCATAAGCAAATTGCCTACAGCAAAAACCACACGCACAAAAATGACTTGGCTCCCACGCGACCACCACATGGCCCTATATAAACCCCGATTCTGCTGTGCCCATAAGCAAATAGCCTAAAGCATAAACCACACGCACAAATATGCAGTCACTGCAGGAGAAGGCGTCGGAGTGGAGTGGGGTGGATCCAAATGATGCTTTTGCCATTGATCAAATCAATCTCTACCAGAAATTGGGCCTTCAGACCTTCATAAACCTCTCCACCAATTTCTACAACAGGTTTTTTAATTGCTCTTTCCTTTTCCATTAAATATTGAAATTTGCTATTTGAATGGCGAGGGCTTCAAAATACATATCCTCTGCATTTTTTTATATGGGATTTTGAAGAACGGTATTTAAATTCCATTTTACTTCTCAGTTTCAAGAAGGAAAATCTTGGATATTTAATTATTTCCCTTAGTGAATTATGGGCATATAATCCATTTATTTATGAATTTTCGATTTTTAACTAGGTAACAATCTGAATGATTATTGGGTTTTTATTTGATTTTTAGTCGAAAGAAATCATTTTTTTTGGGGGTTAAATAGTTTCGATGACTATTTTTTTTCCAAGATTTATCATAATCCTAATAGTCTTAAACTCATGTTTGGCTGATTCTTGATGACTGATTCACTTCTTTGACGTGGTTCGATCTTATAAGAAACTTATTTCTTGATGTGGAAAACAGAGTTTACGATGATGAGGAAGAATGGTTTCGATCAATTTTTGCAAATTCCAAAAAGGAAGATGCCATTCAAAATCAATATGAATTCTTTGTGCAACGAATGGGCGGGCCTCCTCTGTACTCCCAAAGAAGAGGTAGCTTGAAATTTACATTCATTTGAATTGCATAAACTATGGTTGCATTTTGGCCTTAAAACGAGTCACAAATTGTTACGATGTTGCATATTTTCCTTTATTCGTTTCAAAATTAGGTCAATATCTTATATATATATAGAGAGAGAGATTGATCACACAACCATATGAACTTCTATGTGAATTTGATGGAAATTATAGTTTGCGTTTCCACATACCTGTTTTCTTTCTTTTAGCACGTAAGATGATGAGTTTCCTTTCAAATTATGAAGAATGTCTTGGGTTGTGAAACTTGTTTTCTGATCACAGCTTAAAGCAATTCAAAGCTTTAATGATAATTTAAATCTCTAATGTTAGGAAATGCTATGATTCAAAGCTTTCAAACATATTTTAATACAGTTGAACTGTTGAATTTATGTCAATAGCTACCTTAATTATTTCATGCTTGTGTACTCCTTGAGATACAGTACAAATGATATTAAATTAAATATCGAACTATTTCCCAAGTGCTTGTAATCAACGCGAAATCACAGTTATAGTTACTCCTTCATTCTAACAAAAATTCTTAAGTTCTCGGCTTGGACAATTTTGTATTTGTTTTTCTCAGCTTCTTTGTGCATTATTCTACCCTCGTAATATAGGCACAGATGATTACGATATAGAAGAATGGCTGCCTGCTTCTGATGAATGCAAAATCAACTACCTGAATTTCATTCTGATTTTTGATGAGATCTTTTTCTATTTCATTTCAATGAAAAATATGAGCAAAGGGATATACAAACATAAATAATGGGAATATTTTGGTATTTGTTTGTTAATTTTTTCTTAAAATTGTCTGGATTTCAATGGAATTTAAACTATCTTCTATTTTCATTTTCATTTGGTTGGAGAAATTACTCGAGGGAAATTGGTTATCTCCATATTGCTTATTGCTCTGTGTTTTACTTACTTAAAACCTCATTTCCCTAGGCTCTCAAGTCTCATCTCGAATCCTATCTTTTTTTATTAGTTCTAGTGTTAAGGGGGAAAGATTGACAATTTTCAATCATAGGAAGATAATAATGTTAATACTTTATTGTTTTATCTTAAATTTCATGCTTCATATGGCCAGGCAAGTCTCTGTTTGTCTAAATTTATAAATCATTTATGAATTATCAAACTTATTTTCAACCACAGATTCCATTAGACCCACAAGTACTATCCATTTATCTACCAATCATTTCTGTATGTTTATCAATAAAACTGCTTACCATAATATCTACGTTTGCATACTTAATTTATATACATCTTACAAAGAAGAGAATTTTCTTTTTATTTCTTAATGCAATCAAGAGGTGCCGTTTTGCGTATCTACTGTGAAATTACTTGTTTATATTTAAATTTTTTTGGAGCTAAAACTTCAGTTCCCCGACTTTCTATAGGACACCCCGCATTGATTGGACGCCATCGTCCATTCCCTGTCACCCATCAAGCTGCAGAGAGGTGGTTGCACCACATGCAACAAGCACTGGACAACACTACAGATATCGACTCAGACTCCAAAATCAAAATGATGAACTTTTTTAGGTACAATTTTATTTACAATGCTATTTGTCATCATAATGATAGATCATCATGTTTAGATGATATTGAATGATATTTCTATAACACGTGTTCCATGTCCTTGCGTTTAATTGGACCTATCAATTTAATGTCACTGTGTTATCACATAGGATGATGATCCATTATCATGATGACAAATAACATTATTCTTTTATTTATTTATACTTCATTTGAATTTAGAACATCTCGTAAATATGTAGATAATGTTTGATTTGAGCTTTTATTTACTGCTCAGGCACACTGCATTCTTTCTGGTAGCGGGAAATGAGTTGAAGAACCAAAAACAGAGCATTGCATGTAAGCATGCAGCCAGCAAACCAGCTGCAGTGTAAAGTCCTAACACAATTAGATCATTCGATTCATGGGGCAAACAACAATAATTGGTAATGAACTTATGGATACTCTGTAGAAGGGAAATGTCCTAAAATTTTATAGGCCTTTAGCTATGAGAATAATTCGAAATGAACTCTTAAGTTCCCTCTTATTATCTATATATTAGCATTGTGATGCCGTCTCTTCATCGTTCATTTAATGTGCGTGTGTGGATGTTGGTGCTTGTGCAAACGCGTTGTATTGAGGATGTGCTCTTGGTGTTTGTTAAAGTGAGCCGGGCTGCTCAGGTCCAGAGTGTCTGCAACGACGCGGCTCAGGAGTTGCCCAAAACAGAATATACATAAATGAAATTTGGATGTATAAAAAATGGTGCATTTGGCCTGAAGGCTCATCCCAACAGTGTCGAGACATGGGTTTTTGTTAGGAGTACTCTCTTCGAATAATTTCTTTTGAATTTTAACTAGGCTGGAGGAATCTATTTGATATGATGATGGAACAACATTGAGTTCTTATTTTGTATTCTTTCCTTATGATGGATATGTCCTAATGTAGGGTTTGGCTCGACTTAGTGCTTGTTTGGGACAAATTATAAGTTAATGGAAATGATTGGTGGATAAAAAGGGTAGTAGTTTTGAGTACTACTGATTTCAAGTTTTGACTCTATTTTCCAATTTGAGAAAATTTCTAGTATTCCCGAAGGATAAAAACTTAGTACAACTACTATTTAATTGTTATGCTTATTATTCGTTGATGTCTCTGATCTCAATTACTTAAGCCCTGTTTGTCTACCATTATTTCAAAAAATTGTTTCTCCACCACACATTTACTCAATATAATATTCTACACACAAATCAATAAAGTTACTTTAAATTTCAACTACACATTCTCCAAAAAAATACTATTTATTATTCTATTTTTCTTCCAATGATGGGAGACACACACCCTAACACACGTAAATTAAATTGTGGCAAAGGATATTGAGTACTCCATGCTCTGGGAGTACTAGAATTTTTTTCAATTTTGGAGATCATCTTAGGTTTAAATAATCATTCGAGATGGTCTTATTCCTATATATTAGGACTAATTAAATGAGAAATAATGTTATCTAATAATTAATGGTGGAATTTACACCACATAACTATTATTTTAATAAATTTCAAGTATTACTTGTTAATATTTTTTTCCCTATGTATTGTTTTTTCTTCAGTCGAGATTCCTAACCTTCAAAATTCAGTTATCTACCTTGCGTTATATCTTTTTTTTACTAGGCCACTTCAACTGATTAATAACCTAGCCCACACCGCCTCCCAACCACCCACAATAAAAGGGAGAAAACACTAGGTATACTGCCCTGCTTTAACCATTATATGTGCATAATTGTGTAAGCAAGATTGGCCCTAAGACATTCGAGACCTCAGGCGACAAGTTATTACGAAACTCATAATTATAATTTTCTATAAACGTATTGATCTCTTTAGTATCATTCATATTCTATTCAAATTGATTTTTTTATATTATTTTTGAAAAATTAAATGAGTCCTTATTTTTAACTTTCATAAAAACTAATTTTTTAATTTTTTTTTCAAATTATGGCTTACTAAAAAATTATGATAGATTTTTTTTTTTTTGAAAAAAAATTGGGCTCATTAAGGATGCAAGTGTCCAAGTATTTTTGACCTCTTATTTATAGTCTTTCATGTTATTTAGTCATGTCTTTTAAATGGAATAAATGACCCAACTCAAAAAAGAATTGAGGCCCAAGCCAATGGCCTAGGTTGCCTTGGGCAAGGGCCGGCCCTACATTTAAGATGTGTAGCTTTAGAAGTTGAATGGGGAGAGATTAATATAAAAGCAATGAACACAATGGTCCAACAAATAAGGTACGATTGGCTGCTACAATTAGGTAATCAATAAGAGTTTGAGACAACTTTGAAAAACTTGAAATTCAACCAAGCTTGATGTCTTCCAAAGTTTAGTGAATTAAGCTATGTGTACATAATGTTACCCATAAAGTTTCACATAATGGCCACATGGCCACCCATAATTGGGGGGACGCTTTGGCCCACAGTGTGGGCCCAGGCGCCCCCCCAATTGTGGATGGCCATGTGGCCATTATGTGAAATTTTATGTGTTTTACTATGTACCCATAACAAAACTCAAGTTTAGTATACTAAAAAACTCAGTAAGTCAAAATATGGACTCTTGGTAAGAAATAAATTTGCACAATGTGTTAAAATGTAAGAGAATGCTCTAGATTGATAGGAAAGAAATGGCGGGAAATAACTGATTCTGTTATGCCAAATGAAAACGTTGGTTTACAGTGAAGGAAGGCAACCTATTTATACAAAAATTAATCAACATGAATGACATAAATAACCCATGCTATTTTAACACTCCAACACGCCCCTTCAAAATGGCATGTGTATGTTTAACACTCACATCTTGCTAAGCAATGAAGTAAATCTCGTTCCAGCTAAAAGTTTGGTCAATAAATCTACCAACTGTTGCTGAGATGCCATATGTAACATTTTTACCTCATTAGCTTGGACCTTATATCTCAATAGATGGCATTCAATCTCTATATGCTTGGTCCTTTCATGAAAAATTGGATTGCTTGCTATGTGTATGGCTGATTGGTTATCACAAAATAGCAATGCAAGTTTGGTATGAGCAATGTTAAGATCGTTTAATATGTTCTTCAGCCATGTAAACTCACAAACCGCGGCAGTAGGCTGCCTCTAGATGAGGTTGTTTAGGCAATTGGAGGAACTGACTTTGTGACACCCCGAACTTAAGCTTCATGTGTCACGTACTAACGTAATAACTTCAACCTTTGTTACATGTAAAAACTCTTAAATAAAATGTAATGCATACTGGGAACCTATTTGTAATTTATAGTAAAATATCTCTATGAAGTTTAATGACCAGCAAGAGTGTGTGCCGACTTCAAATTATTCTTTACATATGTGGACTCGGTGCTGTCCCGGCTAGTTTAGGCAGCCAGTTCGAACATTTATATAAAATTCACCCCAACTCCATTTTCTATGAAATTTGTGGCATTTGAAAGATATTTCCCATTAGTTTCTCAGGTTAAAATATGGAGAGGTTTCAAGATTATATGATATGGACGATTTATTTAAAATAGTGAGGTACTGTACAGAAATTTCAAATTTGACCTTTCGACACTTAAAAATTTATATCTCCGGCTAGAGACATCCAAATTGAGTGATTCTTGTGCTCATATTAAGACAACTCAAAGAGGAACATGAGAGTATTTTTTAGAGTCTCAAATAGATCTTTTTAGAGTTCGTAATTGCATTTTGTAGTGACCCTAAAAACCTGCTCAGTTTCTGCCTCTTTTACCGTTATAGTAAAAATGGTCTTTACGCATGCCTCTTAGCGTAACATGAACGATGTGCTTACAAAACTTAATTTCAGTACCATATTACATCAGGTATTATGCCGGTTTATATCTAATATCACACGAAAAAATATGAAAAACAGTCTTTGAACGAAACGTGCGAAAAGGAAGTTTTGATACAAGATAACCTTGTCCCATCATCAAGTAGGCCAACTAACTTCCACCAACTCAACTCAACTCAACGATCAAGAATCTGAAAATTTAGTATAAATACTATGAGTATAAAGAATACTCAGTAAGATACCATGCTCGAATTTAACATGTCATACTACACAAAAGAAAGCATTCAAACACATACTTGCATATTCCGGCTTACCGGTGCCCTTCGGACTTGTCCTAAGGGATAAATAGATATCTAATTTCGTGGACTTGTCCACAACTTTCATATTATGGTTCTCATGCATAGTTTAAGCATAAATATTACCATGAAATCCTACCATTCGAGCATAGAAAGTATCTTACCTTAACACTTGGAGAAATTTTTAGTTGAAACGTATACTTGAAAGTGCTAGCCTTTGTTTTCCTTTTTCACGTATCCTATCTTTCTTTGTTTGCACGTAATTTTCTGATTTCAAAGACAATTGCTGGGGCATACCTTAAGTATTTAAAGGCAACGAAACCTATGACTAAGTAAGGTATAAAGGTGACTATTGACCAAGGTAATTGTTATGCCTTCCACGTAGCCATTGAGTCATCTTCATGCATGCATTAGCCTTATTTGTAAACAGCTCATGGTTGATAAAAACACCTCATGCTTGTTTAATATTTAACCACCTCATACTTGCTTAACCACTTAACACATCATGCTTGCACATTACAATTTAACATGTATTCTAAACCTTTAATTAACTAACATTGGTAAACTCTCAATCACCAAATAATGCAACCGAGGCAATCACTAATAATTTGGCCATATAAAATTTTTGAAAGTTAAATTACTATCCAAAAATTTAAATGAGCAAATTAAATGCGCATAAAATTTCGGAGTATTACAGACTTAACACTTGAACAACATAAGACAAGTCTGGTCTGGTGATAGTTAGGTGCAAAATCCTTCCCACGAGCCTTCTGTATATGCTAGGATTAGCAATGGTCTCACCTTCATATTTTCTCAATTTCAGATTGTGTGGTAAAGGGGTATTTGCTGGCCTTGCTCCAAGATAGCCAGCATCAGTTAAAACATCCAAGGCATACTTCATTTAACAAATGGATATTCCTATTGAACTTCTTGCCACTTCAAGACCTAATAAGTATTTTAAGATTCCTAAATATTTCAGCTTAAATTGCTTATTCAATTCATCCTTGAACTGTATGATGTAAGACAAATCATTTCCCCCAATTATTATATCGTCCACATATATCAAAAGTATGGTAAATGAGCAGCCATTGGTTATGTTAAACAAGGAATGATCAGATTTTGACTGCCTGAAACCTTGTGACAGAATATAAGATATGAGTTTCATGTTCCATTATCTTGAAGCTTGCTTCAATCCGTAAATAGACTTGTTTAGCTTGTAAACCAACTATTCACCTTGCTTCCCCTTCTACTCATAACCTGGATGCATAAGCATGTAGACC